TGTCCATTCATTGACCGTAGTGCTGCAAAAGCCCGCAGCACTACGGTCAATGAATGTGCCCTTATTTACTCATGTGTTGATTGCCTGAGGAATGTCCTACAAGTCCATCACTCTTGCTACCGTGTTCTCACTGTTGATATAATTTTTCAACGCTTCAAATTTTTTTGTCGCAGGACTTATTTGCCAACCTAATATTTCATTCTTTGACTTATGCCTCGGACCCTACATTCAGCGTCATTCAACGCGCTGTGAAAAGGACGATGCTCGAAATTTCCCAGTACACGGTGCAAGGGTGAGTCCCTAGTTCCCAACTCAGTCAAAGAACGAGGATCATGGATGCCAAGGATTCAAATATTAGGTGAGCCGGACACGTTATGCAATATCATGATGACCGCTGGGCCAGGGCGGGCGGGGCGTGCATCGATCGGGCCGCCAACGCGATGGTCATATTTCTTCGCGAAAGCTCCGAACGAAAGGAGTGCGCTGCCTCGTGTCACTCGAGCGATGACGATCTACTTGTAGACCACTCTGGCTTGTGACAGGGACAAATGGGAACACCATTGGTCCCGCTTGAGGAAATCGATGATAAACGGTGCGACAGGTGAAGTCTAGTATTGACAAATGGTATGAACCAGTAATTACCTGGCCTCTGATAGCATATGAAGTTCAGAAAGGAGCCCAAGCAGTTATTCCGTCTAAAGCACAGAAAGACAAGCGAGCGAATCGTGCTGCATGGAAAATTTTCTCGAGGCAGGCGTAATCACTTTGTTTCATTGACTACTTAAGGCCATGGGAGTCAACGTGAATAAACCGCCATGTCGAGCTCCAGCAGGCTTTAGGGGCATTATCTGAGTACATCTTACCCATATGGCAAAAAGAACAGGGAAGACGGTGCTGCGAAATTACAAGAAGCGGGCATTTTCAGATACCATCCCGTTCTAGTGCGTGCTATTCTCGGTTGATCACCATACTCATCTCAGTTTTTTCATGTTATAGTCCAAAAGCTGATCTGAATCGGTTCAAGGGTTTTAGATGACGGTAGAATATTAGACATTCAATCATTCATTTTCTTGTGGCTCTTTCGATTTCGACACAAGATTTGATCAGCTTCAAGTACCCCGTCCACAATCGAGGGTCGTAATTCGATCCAGTGGTTTTGCATGCCATGAAGCTGTGAAAGAACTTCAGAATCAATTCGTTTTCAGGCGGATCAGATGCTTTTCTGCACATTCACAGCTCTTCACCATAATGGACCATATTGGTCGTATACTTCTCCTATTTAGTGGGAGAACTTAAGTAGTGCAGGCGCCTGTCTGAAGATGTGTGTCGAGGAAATCCCGGAGTGCGTTCAGGCTGGCGGTAAGAAAAGGGCAGGAGAGGTGGTAAGTTTTTGTAAATTTGTAGAGAGAAAATTATACAGAGCATTGGTTCACGGACACGCCGCTTAATAGCACCGGATTTGAAGAATATTGTATTATTTTGGCAACTAATGGTGAAAAACTGCGTCCTTTATAAGAACTTCGAACACTTACCTTGAAGGATACCAACCTGTTTGGCGATTGTATTTTCGGTCCACTTAGCTGAGTTTTTTATAGGCAACAGGTCGGGCCGAAAATATTTCCTTTTTCTCCGGTAAAAGCCGAATATAATTCATATCCTAAATTATCGCAATTACTCATTTTCAGGACTCATTCACANGTAGAGAGAAAATTATACAGAGCATTGGTTCACGGACACGCCGCTTAATAGCACCGGATTTGAAGAATATTGTATTATTTTGGCAACTAATGGAGAAAAACTGCGCCCTTTATAAGAACTTCGAATACTTACCTTGAAGGATACTTACCTGTTTGGCGATTGTATTTTCGGTCCACTTAGCTGAGTTTTTTATAGGCAACGGGTCGGGCCGGGCTGAAAATATTCCCTTTTTCTCCGGTAAAAGCTGAATATAAGTCGCATCATAAATTATCGCAGTTACTCATTTGCCAACAGAATGATGAGGAACACTGCGGCTGGTCACAAAATTTTCTCGAGGTGGAGAGAAGAAGTTCCGCATTTTGCATGAGAAGCTCTTGTAGTAAAGCATAAAGAACAAGCATATCTCATCTCAGAAAGTTTGCATCAAAAAATTGTAATTTGTGTCAAAGTTCATCAGTTGTGACTGCCCTTGGAATGAGGTCCCGCCTCTTGAAAAATGAGCCCTGAGTATGAGTCGCCGATATTCATTCTGCTCGCATACCCAAAGTCCTTTACATGATCGTAATCAAAGGTGAGACTTATGTAGTTCTGGAATCGCTGTTGATGCCCTGAAGGTAGCTTCAACAGCTGGCTTCTGGCTGATGAGTGTAAGCTCGATCATAGTTTTGAAATAATGAAGATGACCAATCCCTTTTTATTTTGATGAACTAATTCTGGTGCTGGAGCGATCAGCTCACTTGATCGTATAATTCTTCATGGCGTTTCACTGTAGTACACTGCCTTGATTCTTAAAATACGATCTCAGAAACATCAAGGATCAGTAGCTATTGCTTCGATAATTGGGACTTTTCTTCTAATGCTGAACCACAGTTTTCAGTATTCATGCTATTTCTTCAAGGCGTCGGAAAAAGCAGATTATGTCTACGATCTTCCCGGTCATGAATATTACGGTTTGGAAAGAGGTGTAATCAACGATAGCTGCCCAATGGCAGAGGGTTTGTTTCCAGCTTAAGGATAGCATTCGCATTCAGTTAATGATAAGGAATTTGTTGCTTCTCCTATTGTCATATTGCTGAATAAATTCCTTTTGCTTCTCTGTGCATTTTTCCTCTCATTGTTGCCCATAAAAATACTTTGCTGCGAAAAACGATGGATCGTACGTGGCTAAACGTCGGGGTGAATACAAATAACATTACAAAGTCAGTGCATTCAATGATATTTTCTTGAGCACCAACACTCATCATGAAATACTTTAAAAATTCTTCGAAGTTGTACATGAGACAAATACGATCTTATGAACACTGCCGCAGAATAATAATAATGAAGTAATAGTTTCTAGCAGTGGAGCAGCAGATCAGGATTGCTGATTTGGGATATAGAGCATGCCAAATTAGTTCACAAGAGCCCACATCGCTCGCACACGATGTTGTTTCAGTGTTTGCGAGCGCTGTTTCCAAAGGAGGATCCGAACCCCTACGGATATCCAGCCGAATACAAACATGACAGCTAAGTAGTCAATTATTATAAAAGGGGGTCTAGTCAGTCATCATCAAAATTAGTAATAAAAACGACACGAAAACACAATACCAATACTTCGGCTCTGAAATGTGCCGCTGGAAGGAAGAAATGTATCGCTGGAAAGAATTAGCATGATTCGGAAAATCGAGAGTTTGAGCTATTGTCCTCTGCGGAGATTCTTTAATCACTGGCATTAGGGGTGTCAAAATTGACATGTTTTTATGCTTTCTTCGAGAGTGTCGGACGTATCATCCAAAAACTGAAAACAAAGTTTCTTATCGAAGTGGAGGACTTGCGATGTTGTAATTAGCACAAGTAACAACCTAGGTGCTCATTTTTCCTAAAAATAAAGGCGAAATCAAAAAAATATCGAAAATTCATTATATGTATGTATACCTAAATTGCTCCCGAGCACAGCCTTCCGCTGGACTTCCTTCCAACCTGAGTGGAGTACTTTGGCAAAAGTTATAGCGAAGCGTATACAAAATGACGATCGACCACGATTCATAGCAGTATTGTATGCCTTCAGGAGACATGTTAGAAAGAAGGAAAGGCCAGAGAGGTCGGAGATATCATGCTTTACTACGATAGAGAAGGCAACAAACGAAAAGGTGTGGCCATCGCAGTAGGAGAGTTTCTCAAAGACCATTCTCCGCTGTTAACAGCATTGGCTGTCGAATCATGATTGTAAAGATAAACGGCAAGAAGGATCTTCTGTTTCTCCCTAGCGTTGGTCCTGCGCAGTCGCAGAGTAGCTGTTCTCGGCACCAATCTCCCCTTCTTTCTATCTATGGCATCAGCGGCCGCTTCCTTAGCTCCGGCGAGGTCTTTCTTGATCACGTCCGTCTTCGCTTCTTTGGAGACCCCGTCATCGTTCATCCTGAGTCTCGAACTACCACACAAATCATGTGGGTAAAGAAATAGAGCTTTCTTATAACTTTTTGGGCAGCTTCCGCATTAGGTTGAAATTGCTACCGAGCAATGTTCATTTAAATTTGTTCGCCCGGGAAGTTATGTTTCGTTACTTCTGTACTAGCTGTAACTTGAATTACTGNCTTGATCACGTCCGTCTTCGCTTCTTTGGAGACCCCGTGATCGTTCATCCTGAGTCTCGAACTACCACACAAATAATGTGGGTGGAGAAATAGAGCTTTCTTATAACTTTTTGGGCAGCTTCCGCATTAGGTTGAAATTGCTACCAAGCAAAGTTCATTTAAATTTGTTCGCCCGGAAAGCTATGTTTCGTTACTTCTGTACTAGCTGTAACTTCAATTACTGTTTTTACTCTATATCCCAAATCAGCAATCCTGATCGAATATTGATGCATTCGCTTTTCTACATAGACGCCTTCCCATGTTTCACTTTCTCGGCAAAGATCGAGCCGTAATTCCAGGCGGTGTTGATACTCACCACTTCCTCTTGCACTTTTCCTAGGTTTCATTCTTGACGCATAATCACTCAGTATGAGATCCTGCTTGGTTGTCTGTCAACTGTTCACTCATCCGAACAACGTATGTTGGTATCCCACAATCATACCCTCTCTTACATTAATTCATTTCAGATTATATAATTGATATAATAAACTGATATAACCGCCTCCTGTACTAATTTCAGCTCAAAGACGCTTCGGCTACTCATCGACGGTGGCGCGCAGAGTTTTATGAAAAACTCCGACCTTGGTTTTTTCTCAACGACTTATGGAAGCAGCAACAGCGGTGCCACTTGGAGCGCGGACTGGACCCATTGGCTGCTTTCATAGTCCGCCTGCCGGCGTGCCGGCGGA